AAAGCCCCTGGTCAAATTACAAAATGTTTTTTTTATTTTTTTTTATTTTGGATATGGTGATATAATTAATATCTACATCCGAGTTTCTAATAATCCAAAAGTCATTTTGTAAATCCTTTTTGGCCACTTCTAAAGCGTCATACTTTAAGTCAGAGATTTGACAAGATCTCTTCTATTCATAAACGTCTAATCAAACTTCTATACATAAAACTCATAATTTTGCTGTTTTAAGAAAATACATATTAAATACAGAATGTTTAGATAGTCGTACTGAATGGAAGATTTGCAATGCAAGAAATGCAACATTAGAACTTTAATTTCAAAACACCATAAACTGAGACAGAAAGCGGCAGCCCTGAGCTTTTGAGTCGCCTGATAAATGTATAATCGACAAAAACAAACACAAGTTTAAATGCACAAATAACAGCAAGTATTAAGCAGGTTCTTGACTCCTTCACTGGTTGAATTTGGTGACGGCGGCCCAGCCTGTGTTGAAGCGGATCCAGTCGAAGTAATGTGCCACTTTGGTGTAGACGCCGGGATGATTGGGCTCGCCACATTTGTCTCCCCAGCTGACGATTCCCCAAACATACGACAACCCAGAGGCGTCCTTACAGACCAGCGGCCCACCGGAGTCACCCTGACATGAGTCCACCTTCCCCTCCAGATCACCTGATCAACAGACAATCAATCAATTTATCAATCAATCGCTCAGTCTCCAATTAATCAGTCTGCTCAGTTTTCAATTAATCTTTCAGTCTGCTCAGCCTTTAATCAATCAATCAATAAATCTGTTCATTTTCCAATCAATGAATCAATCAGTTAGTCAGTCTGCTCAACCTCCAATCAATCAATGATTTGGTCTGCCTATCTAATTAATCAATCTGTTCAGTCTCCAATTAATCAATCAATCAATCAATCTGTCTGCTAAGCCTCCAATCAATTAATTCAATCCCCATTAACCAATCAATCAACCAGTCAGTCTGCTCAACCTCCAATTAATCAACCAATCAATTAATCATCAAATTGCTCAGTCTCCAATTAATCAGTCAGTCTGCTCAACCTCCAATCAATCATTCAGTCTGCTCAGCCTCTGATCAATCAATCTGTTCAGTCTCCAATCAATCAGTCAGTAGGTCTGCTCAACCTTCAATCAATCAATCAATCAATCAATCAATCAATCAGTTTAACCCCCAATCAACTAGTCAACCAACCAATCAATCAGTCTACTCAGTCTCCAATCAAACAAACAATCAATCAGTCAGTCTGCTTAACCTCTAATCAATCATTCAATCGATTGATCTGTTTAGCCTCCAATCAATCAGTTCAATCCCCAATCGATCAATCTGCTCAGTCTCCAATCAATCAATCAATCAATCAATCAATCAATCAGTCAGTCAGTCAGTCAGTCAGTCTCCTCAACCTGCAATCAATTAATCAATCAATCAATCAGTCTGCTCAGTCTTCAATCAATCAAACAATCAATCAATCAATCAGTCTGCTTAACCTCTAATCAATCAATCAATCAATCGATTGATCTGTTTAGTCTCCAATCAATCAGTTCAATCCCCAATCAGTCAACCAATCAATCAATCTGCTCAGTCTTTAATCAATCAGTCAGTCTGCTTAACCTCTAATCAATCAATCAATCAATCAATCAATCAATCAATCAATCAATCGGTCTGCTAAGCCTCCAATCAATTCAATCCCCATTAACCAATCAATCAACCAGTCAGTCTGCTCAACCTCCAATCAATCAACCAATCAATTAATCAATCAATTGGCTCAGTCTCCAATTAATCAATTAATCAGTCAGACAGTCTGCTCAACCTCCAATCAATCATTCAGTCTGCTCAGCCTCTAATCAATCAATCTGTTCAGTCTCCAATCAATCAGTCAGTCTGCTTAACCTCTAATCAATTAATCAGTTCAAACACCAATCAACTAGTCAACCAACCAATCAATCAGTCTGCTCAGTCTCCAATCAATCAATCAGTCAGTCTGCTTAACCTCTAATCAATCAACCAATCAATTAATCAATCAATTGGCTCAGTCTCCAATTAATCAATTAATCAGTCAGACAGTCTGCTCAACCTCCAATCAATCATTCAGTCTGCTCAGCTTCAATCAATCAATCTGTTCAGTCTCCAATCAATCAGTCAGTCTGCTTAACCTCTAATCAATTAATCAGTTCAAACACCAATCAACTAGTCAACCAACCAATCAATCAGTCTGCTCAGTCTCCAATCAATCAGTCAGTCAGTCTTCTCAACATCCAATCAATTAATCAATCAATCAATCAATCAATCAATCAATCAATCAGTTCAACCCCCAATCAACTAGTCAACCAAACAATCAATCAGTCTGCTCAGTCTCCAATCAATCAAACAATCAATCAGTCTGCTTAACCTCTTATCAATCAATCAGTCGATTGATCTGTTTAGTCTCCAATCAATCAGTTCAATCCCCAATCAATCAACCAGTCAACCAACCAATCAATCAATCTGCTCAGTCTTTAACCAATCAGTCAGTCTGCTCAACCTCTAATAAATCAATCAATCAATCAATCAATCAATCAATCAATCTGTTTAGTCTCCAATGAATCAAGCAGTCACTCAACTAATTAATCTGCTCAGTCTCCAATCAATTAATCAATCATTCAACCAATCAATCATTCAGTTTGATCAGCCTCCAGTCAACCAATCTCCTCAGTCTCTAATCAATCAAGTGATTTGCCCAGTCTTTAATCAATCAATCCCTTATATTAATATTCCTTCAAGTACAAAAATAATTATCAATAAATGATTTATACATTCAATAGTTTGTCCAACACTGCTGATATACTGTGAGAGTTACTGCAGTATGGATGCACAAAACTGGACTGAAACTGGATTGTGTAATCTGTAAATAGGCAGCATCATTAGCGTGTGTTTCCCTGTAAACCGTTCTCCAGTAATGTGGATTTACAGTCGTAATGAAGAGCTCACCTGCACACTCCATTCCAGGGAGGAAACGGTGCTTGTAAAAATTCTGGCAGTCACCAATAATCGTCACGTTTGCCCATTTCAGAATCGATGCTGACATTCCCGCTACAATCAAACACACATATATAAATATATATACGAGACACGCTGAAGTCCAGTAATAATAAACATGCATGATATTGTTATCATGGACACTTTAAAACAGAGACCTGCACGGGACGGATTTCCCCCCAAACAAAATATGTTATTTTCTCCCTCTCGCGGTTGTTGGTTTCATTAAGTTTACATTTTTTCTTATAATTTATATTATTTTATTTATTATTTAAAATTATTATTATTATTTTAGTAAATAATTATACTTTATGAACAGCTAATATTTTAATATTAAGTAGGTAAAAATCCAGTTAGTTAATATAGCGTGAATTGCGACGTAAAAGAAAAGTGTTATTTTTTTTAGTGATTGTTTAGTTTTTTCTTATTGTAAATATTCTGTATTATTTTAGTTTATCATTATTAAGAGGATAATATGAATCATCTCGTTTTCAAGGGGGTCAGTTAACTGAAAATAGTTCAATTAACCATATTCAGTGACTAAAATCCCCTGTGTTGTGAGTTGCTATGGTAACAAAAAAACTAGTAATTAATCTATTCTGGTGATTCTGCAGTTGTTATGGTAACACAACAACTGCAGGAACTGATGTGTTGTGATAGTTCTATAGTTGCTATGGTTACACAACAACCTCCGTAACTGATGTGTTGTTATTGTTCTATAGTTGCTATGGTAACACAACAACTACAGTAACTGATGTGTTGTTATTGTTCTATAGATGCTATAGTAAACAATAACTGCAGTAACTGATGTGTTGTTATTGTTCTATAGTTGCTATGATTACACAACAACTGCTGTAACTGATGTGTTGTGATAGTTCTATAGTTGCTATGGTTACACAACAACTGCCGTAACTGATGTGTTGTTATTGTTCTATAGTTGCTATGGTCACACATCAACTGCAGGAACTGATGTGTTGTTATTGTTCTATAGCTGCTATGGTAACAAAACAACTGCAGTACCTGATGTGTTGCGATAGTTCTATTGTTGCTATGGTAACACAACAACTGCAGTAACTGATGTGTTGTCATTGTTCTATAGTTGCTATGGTAACAAAACAACTGCAGTACCTGATGTGTTGCGATGGTTCTATTGTTGCTATGGTAACACAACAACTGCAGTAAATGATGTGTTGTTATTGTTCTATAGTAGCTATGGTAACACAACAACTGTTGTAACTGATGTGTTGTTATTGTTCTATAGTTGCTATGGTAACTGATGTGTTGTGATAGTTCTATAGTTGCTATAGTTACACAACAACTGCAGTAACTGATGTGTTGTCATTGTTCTATAGTTGCTATGGTTACACAACAACTACCGTAACTGTTGTGTTGTGATAGTTCTATAGTTGCTATGGTAACACAACAACTGCTGTAACTGATGTGTTTTTATTCTATAGTTGCTATGGTAACACAACAACCTTCGTAATGGATGTGTTGTGATAGTTCTATAGTTGCTATGGTTACACGACAACTGCCGTAACTGATGTGTTGTTATTGTTCTATAGTTGCTATGGTAACTGATGTGTTGTGATAGTTCTATAGTTGCTATGGTAACACAACAACAGTTGTAACTGATGTGTTGTTATTGTTCTATAGTTGCTATGGTAACACAACAACTGCCATAACTGATGTGTTGTGATATTTCTATAGTTGCTATGGTTACACAACAACTGTTGTAACTGATGTGTTGTTATTGTTCTATAGTTGCTATGGTAACACAACGACTGCAGTAACTGATGTGTTGTGATAGTTCTATAGTTGCTATGGTAACACAACAACTGCAGTAACTGATGTGTTGTGATAGTTCTATAGTTGCTATGGTAACACAACAACTGCTGTAACGGATGTGTTGTGATAGTTCTATAGTTGCTATGGTAACACAACAACTGTTGTAACTAATGTGTTGTTATTGTTCTATAGTTGCTATGGTAACACAACAACTGCAGTAACTGATGTGTTGTGATAGTTCTATAGTTGCTATGAGTCGTGGTAGTTTTATAGTTGCTGTAAACTCCCGCTGGTGTGTTTGGTACCTTTGTCACGACCCCAGCCAGAGATGGTGCAGGTGTCATTGGGCTGGAACTGCTGTGTGGACCAGGGCACGCACACAGCTCTGATGGCAGGATTATCCAGCATGCATTTGTCAGACAGATTGAGCTCCTCCAGCTGCACCAGAGCGATGTCGTTGACGTATGTCTGAGCATCATAATTCTCATGGATGATGATCTTCTTCACAGGAATACTGTCTGTCGTTGACTGTTTGCGATTCTTCCTCCACAGAGAGAACTTGACACGGAAGGACTTCGGTTTGGGTCTGGTGGACACACACAAAGGTATCCCACGTTTACAAAAATACTACAGTAATGTTCTGTAAATTCTGTTGAGTTTTACAGTATAATGAATTGCAGAAATTAATCTCTTGTCATGATTCCGTAGTGGCTATGGCAACACAACAACTGCAGTAATTGATCTATTCTTGTGATTCTACAGTTGCTATGGTAACAACTAATAAAGTAATTGATGAGTTGTGGTAGTTCTATGGTTGGTATGGCAACACAACAACTACAATAACTGATCTGTTCTTGTAATTCTACATCTGTAGTAATCGATTGACTGGTGATTTTACAGTTGCTATGGCAACACAACAACTTTAGTAATTGATCTGTTGTGATAATAATTCTATAATTCCTATGGTGATGCAACCACTGTAGTAATTGATATTTTGTGGTAGTTCTATAGTTGCTATGGTAACGGAAACTGTAGTAATTGATCTGTAGTGGTGATTTTACAGTTGCTATGGCAACACAACGACTTCAGTAATGTATCTGTTGTGGCAATTCTATTCTTTCTATGGTAATGTAACAACTGCAGTAATTGATGTGTTGTAGTAGTACTACAGTTGCTATGTTAACAACTACTATAGTAACTGATGGGTTGTGGTAGTTCTATAGTTGCTATGGAAACATTACAACTGTAGTAATGATCTGTTGTGGTGATTTTACAGTTGCTTTGGCAACACAACAACTGCTGTAATTGAACTGTTATGATAATCCTATAGTTGCTATGATAATGCAACCACTGTAGTCATTGATGTGTTGCAGTAGTTTTATAGTTGCTATGGTAACACACAAACTGTAGTAATTGACGTTTTCAGGTGATTTTACATTTTCTATGGCAACACAATAACTGCAGTAATCTGTTTTGGAAGTTCTATAGTTGCTATGGTAACAACAGCTATAGTATTTGATGAGTTGTTGTAGTTCTATGGTTAGTATGGCAACCCAACAGCTACAATAATTGATCTGTTGTGGTGATTCTACATTTGCTATGGCAACACAGCTGCTGTAATTGATCTGTTGCACTAGTTCTGTAGTTGCTATGGTAATGAAAACCATTGTATCTGATGTGTTGTGGTAGTTCTATAGTTGCTATGGTAACACAACAACTATAGTAATTGATCTATTCTGGTGATTTGAAAGTTGCTATGGCAACATAACAGCTGTAGTAATTGATGTGTTGTGGTAGTTATATAGTTTATATAATAACACAAAAATGGTTGTACCTGATGTGTTGTGGTGATTCTACAGTTGCTATGGTAACACAACAACCATAGTATAATAAACAAATGAGTCAATACTGTAGTTGTCCACATCTATAGGGTATATTAGACTACAATACACCACTGTTTGCTGTAATAAGAAGTATATTACAGTTTATTATAGTTTATCAGGTAGGTTTTACTGCAATATGCTAGAGTACTCGTTACCAAATAGGTGTAAAATACCACATTAATTACAGTGTTGCACAATTTACTACAGTTTACAAATGAAGAGTTCAGATGCAAAAACTTTTAAATGCCGTCTGAAAATAAGCATTTTTTCAGCCCCCTTTGTTTAAGTTCAGCAATTTCACTTGAAAGTTAATGAAAAGAACTTATTTGTCACTATAAAAGTAAAATTGCTGAGCCTACATGTAGGAGACGGAGAAAAATTATAATTTTAGAAGAAAAAAATCAAATGGCTTATAGAGGTTTTTGCATCTAAACTCTTCAAATACTGTCGTCATTCATTCATTCATTCATTCATTTTCTTTTCAGCTTAGTCCCTTTATTAATCAGGCATTGCCACAGCAGAATGAACCGCCAACTTATTCAGCATACAGTTTTACGCAGCGGATACCCTTCCAGCAGCAACCCATCTTTGGGAAACACCCATACACACTCATCCACACACATATACTAGGACCAATTTTAGCTTACCCAATTCACCTGTACCACATGACATGTGTTTGGACTGTGGGGGAAACCGGAGCACCCAGAGAAACCCCACGCCAACACGGTGAGAGCATGCAAACTCCACACAGAAACACCAACTGACCCAGCCGAGACTCCAACCAGCGGCCTTTT